ATCGTAATCCGTTATGTTTTCCCCGCATAATTTCAATACCGAGCAAATGCGGAACATTGCTGACTTGTACTCGTTTACAGTTTTGAAATCTTGGAAGCGTAAGTGCATCCAATCATAACGAGCCCGGGGGAGAATCACCGTTTTCTGGTGATCATACCTTTCTTTCAAGGCTTTCCAGAGATGTGCAGGATCTTTCACAGTTAAATATTCATTTTTCAATGCCTCATTCAAATGATGTCTCAGAAATATCATTGCTTTAGCTTTATCTTGTATTGATGAATTATTTGGTGAGATTATTGTTTCTCCCAATCCCCTTGCAGCCAAATGAATTTCGGCATCCAATGTCCATGAAATATAATTTTTTTCAGATATATCAAGAGCTTCAAATTCGAGTTTGACCAGATTTGCCATGATAACTATAAAATAAAACACCAATGCTTAGATTCGAAAAAATTACATATACAATCATTAATTCTCCAAAACGTACAGAAGAGCAAATAATAAACTCATTATACAAAGACCTAATACATAAAATATAAATTCAGGAGTAGGATACATCATTGTGAAAATTCTCAAAGCGTATATAATAAACAATATAATGGTAATTATAAATAGTGGATGAAACATTTTTTTTTCTTTTCGTTTGAGGAGAGTATATTAGTATTTGGAATGAGTGTTAATTTATGAAATATAGTGTTATATATATAGATTGATAAAATAACCGTTGCAATATAGCCGTTAATTAGCCGTTGGAAACAAATTGATGATATAATATTTGTTAGTTAATCAACTCATGATTATAAAATTCTAATTAATCATGTATATTACCTTAAAAATTTTCCGAGCCATTATGTAAATAATTTAATGAATATAAGTAATGAAACAAAAAAAATGTCACTACCCACTACTCGATAAAGCTTTCGGTGGGTACAAGAATAAGCAGTTATAAATCTCACGCGACATTACAGGATAAACCAATTTGTGGGTGTTAAGTATAAGTAATAATATTATTTATATAACTTGAAGTTATTTGTCATAATTAGTAATTCATAAGCAAATTTAATAATATCATCTTACCACGTATTATTGACTGTGGCATAGTCTAACTTGCCAATAATAATGGTAATCTGTAAATAATATCATATTTAGTATATTCTTCCCACATATCCTTGACTGTGGCAGAGCCTAACTTGTCAAGAATAATGGTAAATAATGTCATATTTAGTATATTCATACCACATATCCTTGACTGTGGCAAAGCCTAACTTGTCAAGAATAATGGTAAATAATGTCATATTTAGTATATTCATACCACATATCCTTGACTGTGGCAGAGCCTAACTTGTCAAGAATAATGGTAATGTGTAAATTAGTAAAATATACATATATATATATTGTTATATTCTTACCTTTCTGACCAGGTAGAGCGCTCGTGCTGATAACGTGTTATAAAACTAGAGAGAATTGAGACTATAGAGAATAGAGAAACTGTATTCTTTTTGGTGTATTTTTCATTATAACTGAAGCCCCTATTTATAGGAAAACTTCTGATGGTACAATCGTAATAATACAATTACATCAGGGACAAAATAGTCATTCACATACATTAAAAATATTTGCACGCGGTGTGCATGCGCACCTTTACAACAACTACGATATTTATCATCTATTCTTATATCTATGCATAAAAGTATATTTTATATTATTATTTATATTTTATACTGTTATATTGAGTTGTGTCAATTTTAAAAAGATTTGCATAATTTTTTTAAAAAATAAACTACAAAATTAATGATATGATTGTGTTGTTTCCCAATGATAGAATATATAGATAAAACACATATATACATGTAGAAAATAGTCAAACAATTGACTCAAGCAGCTATAGAACCAAATCTTGTGACAAGATACGAGTATCTCCAATGGGTTGTTAATTTTGTAAAAATGTGGAAGAAATTCAATAAAAAAATATCTCTAACAGTGAATGTCTAGATTCTATTCATAATGACATGGTAAGAGAGAGAAGAAATAAAATCCAGAACTACTTCTACATGTAGAAGTCATGTTAGACATGATGATCCATATTTTCTAAGTTGAATAAATAAACCACTAGAGACTTTTTATTTGTTTGAACATCTATTCCTTACACGTAGATGGAATGTGCCATCTATTTAATTGCCACATACACTACAACTCATGCTTGCCATTAGAGATGCTCTAAGTCCCAAGGTCGTCTAGAAACCACACTACTAAGAGCATCTCCAATGGTCATTCTATTGTTCTATTTTATTGTCACATGGCACAAACAATCCTATATGGCATGAAAAATGTCTAGAAGGCCTTCTAGATGTAGAAGCCATAGAATACTTGTACTATTTAGTATGTATTGTTTATTCATTTTTTCTCTCTTCTTCACCCAATAATAATTTTACACATCACAAGTGACACCACAATTCACACTAACCATTAGAGACATAATTTTTTTTATTTCCTTTCTCCATGCCATTCAACAAAAATGAACAATTTTTCATTGGAGATACTCTAAGAGTCTAGAGTATCTCCAATGGTCTTTTTATTGCTCTATTTTGTTGACACATTACACAAATAATCCTATGTGGCATGAAAATATCTAGATAACAAAGTGGGGTGATCACTTAAAACACTTAAGGAGGTTTTGCTCATTTTAAGTGTCAAGCCAACAAGAGGTAGAATCTAGGGGGTAACCACAGACCCCCAGAAAAATTTCCAACATGTTGGATTAGCCTATTCCCACTGGCCACTACTATCAAGCTAGGGTTTTTTTTAGACTTACTGGCTACTATAGGAAATTTGTAAAGAGTTATTGGGTCATCAGTAAGCCTTTGACCAACCTGCTAAAGAACCCTTGAAGCTTAACAACCCATTAAGCATGCTAAATCTTCTTCTTTAACACATTAAACTTGGTCAATAAGAGGTAAATTAGCTTGGCAAAATACCTTTCTGGGGAAATAGGTGGAGGTAGATTGGCTCGGTTTTGAATGGTTCTCGGCTCAGGTTACTGTTGGAAATTCTCGATTGTTCTCAGGTGGACAAGGCTCGGGTCCGCTACTTCCCGGTGCTCGCCTCAGTCACGAGCCGCCGCTTGCAGCCTAATTTTCCCGACTCAAAGAACTGCTCTTTGCCGGAACCGGCTGCTCCCGGTCCACCAGAAAAAAGGTGCCTCAGACGGGGTGGTGCTCGTCTCGCTCTCGGCACTCCGGCGCTGCTCGACTCTCCATAAAGGTTGCTTCTCGCCGGACGAGAGGTTGACTCTCGTCGGAAAAATGTTCAGCCGTTGTTGCTTGCTTTATGTCGTCTCGCCTGCGCGAAGCCCGGCGTCGATTAGTCTGCTCAATACTCGCTGGAATTCGGGTCTGACTCGCCGGAATAAATGGTGGTTCTCCGGCGCAGCTCGCTCTATCTCAGCCTCGGGTGGTCGATGGTCGCCCTCAGCCGTGCCGTATTCTTTCAACCGCCGGAAACTGTAGCTTCGGTTGTCGTGGCTTGCGTCTGGTTTCGGACGCCGGCTCTCGGCTCTCCTTTGTCCGCCGGCGTGCACTGGCCCTTGTCGCCGGACTGATGCTACTCGTATTCGCCGAGAATCTGGAGCCGTTGATCGCTGGCAGAGCTTGCCCGCTGAAGGGAGAGACAACTATTTGGGAGAAATTTTAGAGCATGTTTGTTTATAAAAAATTTTTGTATTGTTTGGAATTTTTGATTTAGTTTGGTTAATTTTGAAAAAGGTGGTATGGTTAGTTGTTAGTGGGTATATTAAAATAATATTTAAAATAAAATAATTAAAACTGATTTGATGTAAAAGTAGGAGAGAGAAATTTGAAGTAATGGTTAGTTAAAATAATGTGAGTGGATGAATAGTGAATTAAGGTTGATGTGGTGTGTAGGAATGATTGATTGATATTATTTAATTATATTGATAATTTTGATGATAGTGGGGTTGAGTTAAAAAAATTGATTGAGTTAAAATGTTCGAAATTTTTTAAAAATTTCTATAAACAAATATGCTCAGAAAATATGGGGTGTAAAAATAAATTTAAAGGGGTGACAAATTAAAATTTTTAATATTAATTGTAAAAAAAAAAATTTGACGGAGGCAATTGCCCAACATGTAGTTTCGCAATGGTAGGGAGATGGGCTGCTGGGGTGCGCGTTTCGCCGGTCGTGAAAGGAAGTTCGCAGCGAGTGTGGGGAGATGGGCTGCTTGGGTGCGCGGTTCGCGGGTCGCCAACGGAAACTCGCTGCGAGTGGTAGGCCTTGGAGCTAGGGCGAGCGTTTCGCGGGTCGCCAATGCTTCTTCGCTGCAAGTGGGCGCCTGGGGCTACTATGGTGCGCGTTTCGCGGCACGCGAATGGAATCTCGCTGTGAGTATGTTGAGTTTCAAGATAGGCTATCGCTCGCTCGGATGGCTCGGATGATTCGNAAAATCTGCCTACTTGACAATCAAACTGCATCAACGAAAATATCGAAACGAACAATTGTATCAAAACAGGATTACAAATATTTTTCCTACCGACAAACAGGCGCAAACATATTTTGCAACATCTTCAAATGCTTGTGTGATCTTAACAGTATTCTGCTAAAGATCACCTGTATTTTGCATCATCCTCAAATGCTTGCAATAAGGCAGGGAGAATATAACCAAAAGCCAAATTCTAAACTACACATAGCCTATTCAGAAAGTATCCATTTCCATGCCTCTCTAGTGGTAGCCTGGTAGGTACTGATCCCTGATCACTTCTCACAACCTAAGAATACGTTGGCAACTGCAAAAACCAGTACACATTTTTATTTTCTCAAACAAAAAGATGGCAAATCATTTTTTCGCCATTTAAGCACACAAGTTGATCGAAACATTTATCCAAATTACACATCACATAATCACCTAGGGCCGCTACAAGATTTGTAACGTCACATGATTAATCATACAACTAGCCAATTTACACCATTACTCACCACGGCCCGTTTCAGCCCGAAGCCCAATCCTCTCGGCCCTCTTCCCAAATCCTCACCACATCAGGACTGATGCGCGAAAGTAAGGCAACATACGCTTTCTGGCTACAAGCTATTATAGTCGCTGGGGCGTATTCCCTTTTGCACAAGCCCCTCTCTGTAAGCCACTTTTGAAACTTATACCTCGGTTTAATCCGTTTTTCCAGATCGAAACACAAGTACGCAGGGAAAATATCTAGATACTCAAGGGAGGAGCCCAAGTCATTGCACAAATACTCGATCTTTTTCACAAGCTTGTTTTCCTGTTGATTAAGGATTTTTGGCTTCCACCTTATCATCGTGCAAAGTCTCGAGTACTCAACCCCACAATTAATGAGGCAATCAAATCGGCTTTGCAGCTGGTCACTACCGCTGTATAGTGAAACCAAAGCTTTAGCTGCGTACTTATTCTCTCCAAAACCAATGCCGTGCAAAAAATTGAGCTTTTTAATCGTGTGAATGTGTGTTCTCTTAGCTTGAATCTTCCTTAGATCTTCTTCATATTGCCTATCCACATCCTCCGAGGAACAAATGGTATAATTAGCTAATAAATAGTGGTTTCCGTTTTTCAGTCTCTCGAAAAACCACTTCGCAAGATTCATCGACCTCATTGCGTTAGGCAAATTAGCCAATCGATTTCTTCCGAAAACGTGAGGATATTTCTGCTTAAGGGATTCAAGTTCTTCCTCACTCAACCCCAATTGCTTCAAGAATCCCGAAACCGAGACAACCTGCGTCTCCAAATCGACATCGAATATTTCCGGGTTTGAGAGGAGAAAATTGCAGATTTCATCATTCCGGATGCCCAATTTACGGAAAAAATCAATCTTGCTGACCAAGACCTCTTTCGGGTACTCGATAAGTACACTCTTGTTCCTCCCCATGAGTTCACCCATTCCACCCATCTCACAATTCAGGTCGTAAAAAGACTTGATATTTTCGCAAACAGCAAACACGGAATCCACATTACCACCCTCCACACAGCCCCACAAATCATAGTCCAAAAACAGTACCTTCAACTCACTCAACAGCCCACCCATGTTTTCACTATTATTGTACAAAACCCTAGGAAAAGCCAAGCAAATGCTGATTACGGTAACAGTGTTAAACCCATAAACATCTTTAATCTCACCAATTCGTCTTTTCAAATCCAACGGGTTAGATTCGAATATGGAAAACCCGTCCGCACACAGCAACCCCAATTTGCTCCACGGGAAACCCATACTCGCCAGAGCACAGGCGGTGTCATAGTGCCTGCAATCGGAGAGAAAAGGCGTGTTTGGGGGCGAAACAGGACGCGCGCTTTCATTTTCACAGCAATTTAAGCCGATGCTCTCGAAGAAAAAATCGAGTTCGTTAATCGGGTGGTACCTGAGATATCGCTGGAAGGAGGACGCGAACGTCGGCGAAGAGAAGGAGATTTCGGAGAGGATGTTGCAGAGGGACCGCGGGGAGTTTCTGGCGATTTTGTCGGCGTAGAAGAAAGGCAGGGAGCGAGTGGTGTGGAGGTAGTCCGTGAGGGCCTCCTGCGATTCGTGAATGGCTTTGGATCTGTGCTTCCAAGGGATCTTGGAGAAGAGTTTTTTAGTGGTCGTGGTGGCGGCGGCGGTGGAGAAGTGGAGAGTGGAAGAACGGAATAGTACGGCGGCGGCGGCAATGGTGGTGCGGAGAAGAAGCATTGGAGTCTCACACAGGACATGGGTTAAGGAATGTTTTTGGCTGTGTAGAAAAATGGTTCATCTGGTGAAAGAAGGCAAAATTGTACTTTGAGTCCTACAAGATTTAAGTTGTTGCATTTTTATCCCCACCACATTGACTTTTTGCTGTTTAGTTTTAAAAGTTTCACAATTTTGGCCCTTTGTCGTCGGAACTCGGAACGCTCCTGGTGTTCGGTAAAACCTAAGTGCGTGTTTGTATACAAATATTTTGTTCAAAATGAGTTTTTTTTGTTAATCATAGTTAATTTTAAATAATATTATATAGTTAGTTGTTATTGAGATTTTGATTTTATATTAAAATAGTACTGAAAATAAAATAATTAAAATTGATTTGATTAAACCAAGAGAGAGATGATTTAAAGTGATAGTTAGTTAAAATTATGTGAGTGGATGAATAGTAAATTAAAGTTGATGTGATGTGTTAAAATAATTGGTTGATATTATTTAATTATATTGATAATATTTAGGATAGTAGAGTTGAGTTAAAGTTGAGCTAGATAATGAGTATAAATTGAGTATGGATTGAGTNATCCAATGCAAAAATAAAATAGTAGGTATGGAATACGGGTCAATCAATAAAAATCTTCTAATATGTTTTTTCTATTAAATTAAAAATTAAATTTAAAAAAGCTCTAAATGGTTTTCTCTGTTAAATAAAAAATTAAATTAAAAATAAAGGTTGACTGTTCAAGTTTGTAGTTGGGTCCAAAATAGACTCAAGAGTGGACTTGGTCTCATTTTTTTACTGTCACATAAGTTAGACCATGTCCACTTTTAATCGCATTGAAAAATATTTTTTAATAAACTAAATTTATTTTCTACCTGACATATTATATTTTCTTAAGAGACCCAAAACATTGTGGGCGCTCTTTATAAAAAGTTTATTTCAGATGTCCACGTCATTAAATTAAATGAAAAAAATACATGAAAGTTATTAAAAAAATTAATAAATATACTTTATAAATGAGTTATATTTCATGAATAATTATTTTATGCTGTAAATATTTATTTGTGAACATTACCTAGTTATACGTGTTGATATACATTATATTATCTTCTATATATGGCTTAAGTAAATGAATAAGATAATGGTTTAAGGTTGTGTCTCTATTTTCTCTCTCTCTTGTTCTCTCATTGCTCCCTCCTACTGTTTTCTCTCTTTCTCTATCTGATAATCAATATTACAATATGTTATCAGCACGATTATTCTACGATATTGACGAACAACGACATTTAGACGAACACTATACCTTCCAATTGGATTTGTGACATTGACAAAGGATGACCACAGTACCAATCAAGAATTAATATATGCCGCAAGTTTCCAAGAATGATTCCCCTCTCTTTAAATCCCTCTTTGAAATCCGGCAAAGCTTGATTGAAAAGGCGGGTAGCGAGCGCGGTGCGGAAGCCCTCCTCCGTGCGTGGAGTTTACGCGACAAGCAAGACGGTACTAGCAAGTGTTACGATTTTCTCCGACCAAAGGGTATTGAGAAGCCATGGGTCGGGGTTGTTTGGGGGAGTTGCAATACCCCCAAGCATTCCTTCATTTTATGGCTTGGTGTGATGAATAGGCTCCAAACAAAAGATCGCCTGGAGTTCCTAAATGAAGACCCGACATGCCCCCTTTGTGGTATCGCGAATGAATCCTCGAGCCACCTCTTCTTCGAGTGCCCCTTTAGCTCGGAGATATGGAGTGCAATTCGAGTTTGGGTTAGCCTCCGTCACATGCCAACAACTCTTAAAGGCGCCCTCAAATGGACCAAAATAAAAGGGAAAGGTACAACTTGGAGAGCCAAATTGAAGAAAGCGGCGCTTGCGGCCACCGTCTACTTCATTTGGAATGCGCGAAACAGATTGATTTTTTAGGGCGAAACCCAACCTCCAAGCCTTGTGATTAGAAAGGTAAAGACCCACGTCTACCGATCTATTTTTGCTCTTTTTCCGAGTGTTCTTGCCGAATTTGAGAGAAGAAGCCTAGGTGTTGAAGTATAAAATCTTAATAATTTTTTAGGATGGTTGATGCCAAGTGCTTGAGCACTTGGAAGATCTTGATTGGAGGAGAACATTGTCCTCGTTATTTTTGTTCTTGCGAGTGAGGAACCGACATGTGGTTACCCACTACGCTCTTGAAAGCCGCCTCGGTTGTATGACTTTCAATTTTGATCAATACAAATTTATTTAACGATAAAAAAAAAAAGAATTAATATATGCCATATACCACTATCCAAACCCCATTGCTATTAATATTTGAGTCCTTCTTCTCTTTGTTAAGCTAATCTTTTCAAATTATTTTTATTACACACGTAAAAAAACAGATTGTCAAGATCTCGTTGTTGTTAATATGTGGTTTTCTCTTCTTTTCTTTTCTTTTTTCTTTTTATTACGTACGTTAAAAAAAAATAGGCTGTCAAAGTGTCAATATTGATACATGTGTCTATAGATGTGTTTTATATATTTTTTAACACAAGTTAATTTTGATGTAACATTGCTAATACATTAATGTACAAACCCGACAAACTAGAGAGAGAGATGCAAGCTACCTCTGCTACGAATTTACTAATTTGTTTTTTTTGTTTTTTTTTTTTTATTTCTATTTATGTTGTACTAGTATCTTTTACTAAAGACTAAAAATATAATCTATTTGTATTAATCTAAAATAATCATAATTGTAACATACAGAAAAATATCAAAATATTTGAAAATATTTATAAGTAGTTTTCATAATAACAACTTATTTATCAAATATTTTTCACAAAAACAGTCAGCACACCCCACTGACCTCTAACTCTTGATGGTCAAACAATGCCTAAACCATGTAGTAGTAAAATTGAAGGAGAGGAGAGGGGAGAAGATGAGAAATTTTAGATTGCTTTTGTATATAAATATATTCGTTCAAACTAGATTTTTTTTAGTTGACTAGAGTTAATTTAGAAAAATATAGTATAGTGAGTTATTAGTGGGAGTTTGATTTTATAGTAAAATAATATTTAAAATAAATTAATTAAAATTAATTTAATGTAAAAGTAGGAGAGAGTTGATATGAATTTATAGTTAGTAAAAATTATGTGACTGAATGAATAGTGAATTAAAGATGATTTGATGTGTAAGAATAATTGATTGATATTATTTAATTATATTGATAATATTAATGATAGTAGAGTTGAGTTAAAGTCGAGTTAAAATTTAAGTATGAATTGAGATTATCTGTATACAAATACATCCTAATTTTCCTTTGTTCAGGTGTAGAATTTTGAGTGGATTGGGAGGAAAATTTTACGCAGGAATCCATCTCCTTCCTCACTTTTGTTCCCTTCAAAATTGGAGGAATTTGATGGAGTTAATTTTAATATGAGGGAAATGTCAATTTTACTTTTAATTTCAATTTGTTTTTGTTTATCTATCCTATTTCATAAAGGGTAAAACATTTTTTTTTTGTTTATTTTTTTTGTCCCTTTATCTATCCTATTTCATAAAGGGTAAAACATTTTTTTTTTTGTTTATTTTTTTTGTCCTCTATTATTTTTTAACCAAAGTAAAATTGTTTTACATTATCTCCCATATCTTCTCTTATGTTGAACAAAATACACACTTTTCCTTCCATCCAAATTGGAGGAAATTGTAGGGTAAAGATTTTGATTGAGTAGTAACTGACCATTTTGGCCTTACTTTCCATTTTTTTTAAATCTCTTATTTCATTAAGAATATATTTATTATTTCAACTTTATTTTTCTTCCTTTCATATTTTTTTTCTTTTTTTGGAAAACTTCCTTTCATATTTTAAACTGCATATGATTTCACTTCCTTTCCCTAATTCCCTCCATTAAAATTCCTTCTCTTCCATTCCTTCCCCACAAACCAACATACCCTTGACAACACGTATTAAACTTGCAACTTTAGCGCATTAAGTTCTGTCTCGCTCTCTTTTTACCACGAGTTTGAATTAGTTAAGGGTGATTGTTTATAAATTCAACTAGTTTTTAATTGATTTTTTTTTAAAACATAGTTAATTTTTTTTAAAAAAATGTAGTATGGTTAGTTATTAGTGTATATATTAAAATAATAATTAATTATATAAAAGTAGGAGAAAAATAATTGAAAGTGATAGTTAAAATTATGTGAGTTGATGAATAATGAATTAAAGTTGCTGTGATGTGTAAGAATGATTGGTTGATATTATTTAATTATATTGATAATAATGAAGATAGTGGGGTTGAGTTAAAGTTGAGTTAAATTTAAGTTTTGATTGATATTTTTTGAATTGTGATTGATTGATAAATCAATCAACTCCTTAATTGCACGGGAAAAAACCACCCCTCACCCAAAAATTTGAACTTTCAACGAAGGATATTATGGTAATTAAGTTTCGGAAAAAGGAAAATTATTATTTGGATTTAACGGCTTTTACTATCTGTAAAATCTTTTATTGCCCGAATATAAAACACCAAAGATTTGGTCCCAAAATTTAACCGTTTGCTTTTCCTCTGCTCAAATCTCTTCCCGCAAAATCGGTATTCAAGTCGCCGGCCGAACTACCTGAAATTTTCCGGTGACTATTTCGTGTTAGACTATCTCTCTCTCTTTCTCTCTCTCCGGAGCCGGGTTTTTGAAATTTCCTGTCAATCTCGCTGCTTTACTGGTTTTTCTGTGTTGATATATCTATGGGATATGGTTCGTCTGTTTTCGATTTTGAATTTCTTGAATTGGTATGGTCGAAAAATCCAATCTATTTTTTTTCTTCATTTTCTTTTACTGGCTGACTATTGGGGTTAAAGGTGGTATTTTTTTTATGCGTTCTTGTATTTTTTTTGTTTGAAATTGAAGCCTTGATCAAGTCGATTAACGTTTAAGTTCAAAAAAAAAATAAAAATAAAATAAAATAACAATACTCAAATTTCAAGAACTGGAAACTAACGTATCAACATTTAGCCGTGTACGTGATGCTTTGAAAAGTATGGAAGTGTATGCCATATACGCGTGTGTGCATTTTGTTGTTTTATGTTTCAATTCATGTTTCAATATATATCATGTTTGCATTATTGTGCTTAGAAAACTATCCAAGATTGAATTTTGATCAATGAATTGACACCTGAAAAAAATCTCGAGGGACCCTTTGCTTTATTTGTTTCTCTTAATTAGTGATACCTTGGCTTTATCTGATTCAGGGAGTATTTGCAAATTCTAAAAGAAATCGTGTTCGTTTTCTTTCTTGTTGTTCTTTTATGTCAATGTGATTTCTGGAAAAGGTGTTCTTAATTACAAACTGTCCGTTTCACTGGGTGCTTGCAGGTGTTCTTGAATTAAACTGATTTCATTGCATTTGACAAAAACCTTTAAAATCCAAGAGTATGGTCGCATCAAAATATAAGGAGAAGTGGATTCTTGATCGAGAACTCGAGGAAGAGCTTATGAAATATACGATGAGTTACGAAGAGAGTGAAGTGGACCCCGTCTCAGTCGAGCAGGCTGATAAAATCCACGCAGAATCTGATGCGGAAGTCGACATAATCGGGCGTTTGGAATTCAATGGCGGCAATGAGAGAACTGAAGCAGATTTTGCGGATACAACTGAAAGCTCGAGTTCATTTGATGACTCTGATTATGAAGCTGATGATTTTGATCCCCTGCTAGAGCCTGATGTTTCGTCCAATACTATTGATGGAATTTTCAGCATGAGGTATATATTGCTTTTCCATACTCTTTTTTCCCTTTCTTTTTCATAATTATATCGAATTTAAATGTAGGAATATCAGTACCTTTAAATTGGTATGCAGAGCATTCTTATTCGTGGGTAGTTTCTTAGTCGGTGGTATCTAAATTGTTGTGCATTGATATTTCAAGAAAAGAAATTGAAGTTATATTTCTAATCGAGCTCTTATTCATGCTTATTGTTGCATTCGGATTTTTTTTTTTTTTTATGCAAATTTATTTTTATACTTTTTTTTTCTAATGATAATTAGGAAGAGAAGGCTCACAAATCACTGGAAGGCCTTTATCAAGCCTCTAATGCTGCGGTGTAGATGGGTTGAGCTGCAAATAAAGAAGTTAGAGGCACAAGCACTAAGATATGATAGAGAACTTGACAAATACAGTCAGCGTAAACTTGGGTTTGTGAAATTTATGGCGCAAGATCTCGACTTAGCAAAATCAATTCCTTTTTCGAAGGATTGTTTGGGAAGTGAGGTCTTCATGAGGAAGAAAAGAAAACGGAAGGAGGAAACTGAGGATGTAGCAGCATACATGTCCAGTCATTACCTTTTTTCATATTTTGGTACTATACATTTTATCATTAGATTTCTTACTGTAGCTGTTATTTTCCCGGTTAAGTATTTGATATGTAGTATTTTGCAGAGAACAGAGATAATGGTGCTGACTTGAAGAGACTTGGTGAGAAATCATACATTTTGACTATCTTTGATTATTTAGTATTATGCCTAAGATTAATTGCGAACCTCGACCCGGTTTAGCCTAATTCAACCCCAAAAAAATCACATCTTATTATTACAAATATCCCTCTAAAATTTGAAAACTCGAAGCACTTTCTGTTATCTTAAAAAATTAATTGTCTCGCTTTCTCTCTCTCTCCCCCCGATTTTTTTCTATGTTTTTCTTTCGATTTTGTAACTAGACCAAAATCAAAGGGCAATTTTTGTATCTCTTTATTGATCTTTTTTCTTCATTTTGAAACATTTGGCCGGCAGGAAATCAAATTAGTCCTTTTAATGAAATGGTAATATCACATGTGTTACCAAGTTCTGGCCAAAATGGGATTTGTGGATTCATATGAATGATTCTTGTATTTTGCAGCAAAAGCCACCAAGAAAGTCGACACCGATGATGATTTTTTGGACATGGACGATGACCTGTCATGTGGTGAGAATGAAGATGACGATAATTTTGTGGAGGAAATGTTTCAGAAGGCTGATCTTTTACAGTCTCGAGTTGATCAGTTGAAGAGTAGAGTTGAGAAGATAATGAATGATAGTTCTGAAAAGTTTACTTGCGCCGATTACTCGAGTGATGAAGAAGGTGTTATGGAGGGAACATCTGTGGGTGCTTATGTCGTGTCCCAGCTTATAGCTGAGTATGAGTCGAGTAAGTTTCTTTTGCCGGAAAGTGCAGTTAAAAGATGGCAAGAAGTTTCGTGTGATGATGCTAATGAAAGAATGGATTGTTTTTGTTTTGCAGATCCAACTGAAAATGTGAGTTATCTTTTTCTTTCTT